CCACGTCATATCCTTAAGCTGCAAGTATTTGTTGTTGTAGGAGCAGCGGAGGTGGACGTAGGATGAAGGGTTGGTGGCGGAAGGGACCACCTCAAGCTTCACGAACGGGCTCACCGGATCCACCACCCGTTTAACCCCCATGCAGCTTTGCGTCACGCCGAACTCGTCGTTCCACAGGTAGTGCAGGTAAGTCCCGTGACTCCCTGATCGGAGCACCATATACTGCGGCAGTCCGGCAACTATTGCCATCACTTCCTTGTTCCTAATTTACTTTTTCTTTTTTCTCTCTCTCTCTCTGTGAAGTATCTAGTACTAGTATGGCAAGTGTGTATATGAAAGTGGATGCATTGCAGTCCTTGGTATATATAATCGCAACCAACCAACCGAGCAAATAGGTAGCTAGCTAGTTATTATTGATTTTCTGAAATCATTTTTCATCATAAAATATTGCGGCGTTCTACGTACGTCGCGATAATTCCTAATGTATTGATTTAATTATTTTTTAGGAGATGGGAACGTGACACGAGGAACGAGTTTGGTTATTATTATATCTATAAAAGAACAAGTAACAAAACACTATTGCATAGTGTCCCATCACAAACATGATCATTTTGTAATTAACCAAAGGTTTGAAGGGACTTAATGCTATTAAGGTTCTAATCCATTACTTTGATGCTATTAGGGTTCTAATTAATTAACTTATTACAATTGAATCCTAATTGCACCCAAATCAATGGGTCCAATTAATTAACTTATGACAATTGAATCCTAATTGCACCCGAATCAATAGTGTCCCATCAGATACTTTTGTTCGACAACGAGTTTTACACTCTTAAATCAATGGGTTGAATCCGGGTAAGCGAGTTTTACACGCTTAAATCAATATCGATGGAGTAAGTTGAACTTGGTATTCATAACTTTTGGGTCGAGCACGTTTTTTTGTCTTTACAATGGGTTGAATCCGGGTAAGTGAGTTTTACACGCTTAAATCAATAGAGTAAGTTGAACTCGACATTCACGAATTTTAGGTCGAGCGAGTTTTTTGTTTTGGTCTTTCGTTCGATTATCGATCACAGTTATAGTCGTTTTACTGTTTTTTATTTTGTCTCCGCCTTGCAAATGGTCTTTACACTTAGGTCGAGAGTCATTTTACCGATTTTTTCACATGTAAGCCTTGCAAATGGTTTTGGAGACTTTATGGATTGGATGTTTTTAGCTTCATTTACCCATTTTGTTCATTGTGTCAATCTTGCAAATTAATCATAGCAAAGAACAAGTAAAAATGACCCTATCCCTTAGAGTCACATGAACTATATTTTTTTTATTGTTCGTTGTTTTTGGTCGCCGAGCTTGAAAAATTTTCTTGCCCTAACAATCTATTGATTATTCTATCCTTCGCTTATCGATCCTCGCTTACAATCTTAAATCAATAGAGTAAGTTGAACTCGATATTCACGAATTTTAGGTCGAGCAAGTTTTTTTGTCTTTAATTCGCTTATCGATCAGAGTTATGGTCGTTTTACTTTTTATTTTGTCTCCGCCTTGCAAATGGTTTTTACACTTAGGTCAAGAGTCATTTTACCAATTTTTTTCGCTGTGTCGGCCTTGCAAATGGTTTTGGAGACTTTATGGATTGAATGTTTTTAGCGTCATTTAACCATTTTGTTCGTTGTGTCAATCTTGCAAATTAATCATATTATAGAGCAAGTAAAATTGACCCTATCCCTTAGAGTCACATGAACTAGATTTTTTTTATTGATCGTTGTTTTTGATCGTCGAGCTTGAAAACTTTTCTTGCCCTAATGATTTATTGATTATTCTATCCTTCACTTATCGATCACAGTTGGTCGTTAGATCATTTTCCCCGTTTGCCGACCTTGCAAATGGTTTCCGGTTTTGTGCTGTGTTTTAGGTTCATTTCTTTTGTTTTATTGAAATTGCAATTTGCAGGTCGTTTGATTTTGGCCGTTAGATACAGCCGGTTAGATGCGCTGGTGGCTCTTTCGTAATTAACCATTAATCAAGGCTTTAATGAGGACTTAAAATGTAATTATGTTCTTTCTTTATTCATTCTCATCCTCTCTCTTACCTTTATTCCTATCCACTCAATTTCATCTCTCTCACAGAACTCCTGCCACCCACCAATCAGTCTCCATCTCTCTCTTTCTTTCATTGGAAGAAGACGAAGCCAGAAGGAGAACCAGGAGGAGAAGAGGAAGGAACAGCGGTGGGTTTCTTTCTCCTGTTTTCTGGGTTTTTAGCCGAACGTATTTGATGGATTTCGTTTATCATCTTCCCCATTCTTTTCAGATAAAAGGGACGAAGACAACGAGATTATGGCTACAGAAAGTGATCCCTCTGTTTACGCAGACGATAGAAACGACGAGGGCTGGGTTCACGACGAGGGATGGTTCGCGACGGTGGTAGGTTGCTAGCTTCTCTTTCATTGATTTTTGCTTTCAGACGACTTCTGCGCTTGCTGGGTTTGGGTATAGATTCTGATTTTCACCATACTTCTGGGTTTGGTTCATCCTTTTGTTCATTCCAATTCGCAGAAGGTAGAAAGGCGAGGGCTGGGTTCGCCTCGGTGGTAGGTTGCTAGCTTCTCTCTCATTGATTTTTGCTTTCAGACTTCTTCTTCACTTTCTGGTTTGGGTTTAGATTTTGATTTACACTGTATTTCTGGGTTTGGTTCATACTTTTGTCCATTATTTCTTACTGAAGGAACGACAATGCAACCAGATCATGGCCGGAGTGAGAGAATCACTCAAGAGGAAAAAGGAACATTGGGTTTGCAGATCATGGAAGGAGTAAGTGAACCAGCTTTTACACAAAATGAAGTTGACTTATGTTTGATCCAAATTCATTTGGAATCTTGTTTTAATTAGTGTTGGAGTTAGAAAACGAGTGGTCTAATCTTCCTCGATTAATTAGTCAGGTGGCCAACGTTGTTAACGAGTTTAGCTGCCTTTTTGTTTGCTATTGTAAGCTCTGTTGTATGACCCTTCATACAAACTTATTTATGTTTATATCCAAATGCTAGGATGTTGGAGAATTCGATCGGTAGATACACCGGTTATCCCCTCTGAAGCACGACAGATAGAGGGCCACCAAAGTGGTTCGGGTTAGTTTCGCTTTTTGTTTTGGTTGCATGATTTCCTTCTTTTACGTGCCTGTATATTGGGATCTGATGAGGGTTTTTACTTACGGTGTCTTCTTTAAGTTGTTGCAGTACATTGCTTACAATATGTTTGATCTACATCTGCTGCCGGGGAGGATAGAAGGAACCTAACCAAGCTTTTCAGTAGCAAGCATGTTTGGGAAGCAGAAGTCGATGTCAAACTGGTTGGGTTGTAATTTAGATTTGGAGCAAACCCATTTTTAATCACAGTGATCATTTTACTTTTCTTTGGTTGTGTTAGAAGTATAGATTATAATGACCGCTATCAGTGTGGAAACACATTCTGCTTATAATGGTCCCTAACATTATAGATTTTATGGTTTGGTTTTGTTTGTGCCTATGGATTTATGGTTGCCCATATGCTTTGCTCTACAGTTTGTAGCCGGTCTGTTCTGATGTGGCAGCAAGGGTACATGGAACTGTGGATTAGGAGGTATAGCGATGCACAACTCAACTTGCGTGTGCATTGCTTCATTATGATTAATTGAGGTTTGTTCTTCTGTAACTTCTTCTTTTATTCCCTTTACATGTTCTGTTCTCTAATGTGGTCTCGGTTCCTTTTACCCCTTTTTGCCAGAGTTTTGCTGTACCAATAGGGCATGAGTTGCATATGCAATTGAGAGGACTAGAGCTGAATATTGTTATTCTAGGATGAGGAGGAGAAGGTCATGTTACAGCCAGGTATTTGTTTTCCTATAATGGTCTGAAACTTTGGTTCCTACAAACCCAGTTTTAAGTTTTCATGATGTGAAATAATTTGAATGATCTTTAGCAAGCAACCATGTGGAATTTTTTTTTTACCATAGCTACTAGATAATTGGTGAAGTTTAATCAAATGATAAATGCCAGATTGCCTGCTCAATTCCCAAAGAGTTGTTGAATTAGTAAATAATTCATATATTCAATTGTGTTAATTTTATTGTTTTCATGTACCTTATATGTAATTTATAAAAGGTGTTTGCAGCCACTAACTACTTGGTTATTAATTGGTATGTTTTCAAAATGATTTACTCCTCAAACCAACAGTTAGGTGGCCTGACAACTCTATGTTTTCAAAATGATTCACTCTCCTTTCCTTTAGCTATGGACTCTGCTGGTGTTTCATTTTAGAATTTCAGTTATGGTGTGGAGAAGAATTCCAATTTCGTTTTTATTCTCATTTCCACTCTCTCTTTCTGATTTTGTATGAGTGTTTATGTTCTCTTCCTTCGAGATGGGTGCCTATTTTAATCACAAATGCCGGATTTGTGAGGTTCAGCGGCAGTGCGGAGAAGAAACTAATCTCCAGTTTCCACGACGCTTTTAGATTTCAAGTGATGGTTCTCTCTCTGTGATTAGTTTGTTTACTCTCTTTTCGTGATGGTTTTATTTTCATTCTTTTGTCAGGGGGTTTCTTCATCCGCTTTCAAAGGAGGTTCGGACGGCGAGTTCTGTGGCAAAGGAATTGATCCTATTTTTGTTGTTTGCGCCAATTGTGATTGCATATATGTCATATTGTTTTCATTCCTATATCTGTGCGAGTTGTATATGTTTAGTCCATTTTATTTTTGATGTTTAATCTGTTTGTTTCAATCACAGGATAATTATTGTAATGTCGTGCTTCCTAGAAACATGAATTGTGAATAGAACTTGATTCAGTATCTCAGTCAAGTTTGGATCTTACCACGTGACGGATCCATGGCGATGAGAATTGTAGTGCCTTCGCAGACTTTTTCCAACATGGTAATTGTTCTTTTAGAATGATTGGGTTTTGTCGAATTTGATTTTGCCATTCAGCTTCTGCAACTGGATCTTGGGTAGAGTAATAGAAAGAAAAAAAATGGTGGGAGATAATCAGCTGAGTCACTTTAATGCGTAAGTAGTAGGCTTCGTGAATTATTCTATTGCATTCTGTTCTTTGTGGTAGCGATTGGTACATCCTTATGAGTTATGGTGTTACAGTGCCACAATTGGGGATCTTATTAAAAATCTCTTTAATAGGGTAGATTAGAATGGTTAGAATAATTTGTGTATGATTGGTCATTGGTTCCAACCATCGTGCTTAACAGTGTACTTTTTACTCTACTGGTTTTAGTATGGACTAGCCTTGGCTCCGGATCCTTTTATGCTAAAGATTCCTATGTTTTGTTTCCCTTATAGATCAAGTAAAGTTGGTTCTTGTGCTCGGTTGGACCTTCAGGTGAGCCTCCGTTGACGTGCTTTGGGGTGTCGTGAGAATCATGCTTTTCTTCATTTTTGTTCCCCATAAGTTTTGTTGTTTTCTCCTGAATCCTTTGTATTTTAGCGGGGGATATCACTACTTGAAAACTTGCTGCATACTGTTTTGCATCTCCAGCAGGCTGAGCTGCGTATTTGTGAGTTCACACGGACAAAAGTGCTGAGGCTTGATGATTTCAGAGCTAGAGAGCAGAATGCATTTCATAAAATTTCTCATTGATATTAGCCATTGATGTTGCATACTTCTATTAATCCATCACGGGGGATGAAAAGTGATGGGTTTTTTCTTCTGCGTTGCAAGTTTAACTGTATGTTCCCTTTGCATCCGTGCAGCCAAGGAGTAATAAGTAGGCTTGGGGTGGGTCTCCTCAGCCCCTTCTCTGGAAATGTCAAGCACCGACCGGGGAGACGACATTAGTAGCCAGGGAGGATGCGGGTAACAGAGAGGTGAAAGGAGCTTAGCCCCGGCCAATTCCGTACACGTTCCCTTGCAGGTAATCGCTTTATATTTCTCTTCATTTTGCTGGTTCTGTCTAGATAGTACAGATTTTGCCTGCTTTAAACTGTACACGTAACCTAACTTGAGCACTGTGTGTCATCAGTCAAAGTTTCTCCCTTGATTTTAAGTTTCTGTTCCCGTGTTATCTTGATGTCGTCGTTTGTGTTTGTACTAGAGATCAAACACCCAAAGATCGTCATTTTACCATGGTCTCCTTTTCACTGCCAATCACTCGCTTGGTAACCACTTACCATTTTATGTAAACTCATTTGCAAGACTGTTCTTTGCAGCTCCAATCAACACCTTTCAAGTTTTTTTTTGCATTGTAAGCTTCGATTCCACCACCTTTCGCCAGCAATTAATCGCTTTGTAATGCATATGTCATTGTGAGCTCTAGCGGTTAACAACATTTTCTGTTGCTTATGCTGGGTCCATAGGGTCTAATTAACGATAGAATTTTGTCAGCACTCTTAGAGGTTGGCTCAGCCAGGGTTCTAAGCTCCTAGCGGTATTGATTTACAGTGTGCTGCCCCTTTTCTGAACTTTTGTTTGTGTACTTGCTGTAGTGGGAGAAAAATGGAGTAGTTGATGTTCATGACTTCGACATTTCAACTAGCAAGGGTCCATTTGTCATGAAGGCACTCAGTTTAATCTTCTGCAGGTCTGGAACCAATGTCAGCCGAGCCATCGGAGGAGTGTAGGTCAGAAGATGTCTTAACAGAGAAACATGCCCAATCTGCCGCACGAAACTGATCAGAACTCTTTTCTACTTGCAGTTTAGTGACAAGGTTAGCTCCTTAATTCATCTCTTTTGCTATGTCAGCCCTTTTTATCAATTGTTCTATTTTACTGGAATTCACTCGATCTTGCTTAAGAAATTTAATGTACCAAATCAAATTTACTTATTACTTCGGATTGTCCTTTGCTCATTTATCCGTACATCTCTATGGAAACACAGGCTTGTATTCCTTGTGATAAATATCTTTTAAAATCTCCTAACAACTGAACTGTGTTCATTTCCCACTTCATTGTCGGTTGCTGTTTAGTTGTTCTTATTAGCCTATCAAGGGCCTAAGGGACTTAGGGTCAGGCTGTTTTTCAACCTGTTTCATGTAGTTATTGGTTAGGTTTGTTCTTGTCTTTTCCGGGCTAGCTGGTTACTCGCATACTCTGTTGTAGGCTCTGCCTCTTGCTCGCCATTCTTGGTTGAAGAGCACATAATCCTCCGTAGCCTGAATTATGTACCTTTTACAAACCATGAACATATATCCCACGAATGGATTAACTAACTGCCACATCATGTTAAAAATAAAATATTAAATGCTTCTTTAAATTTTATATTAAAACTTTTCGTGTCAATTGTGAAGTTCTTGGATCTTGGAATTGTTGTGTACATTAGCCTGCCACATTGTTTCATGCATAGTTATGTGTAGCTTCTTTGTTTAGGATGATAAGCTTTGTCAGGGATTGGTGGTTCAGTGATGTCAGACAATTGTTCCTTTTGTTGGTTATCTTTTATAAGTTCCTTACTGAAGTTCCTTTTTAGATGGTAATCATGCTGTAGAATTTTGGCTTGGTGTGTTTTTTATTTCCTTGCCATGAGCATTGCATTATAAGTAAGGTTAGGTAAAATAGTGTTTCAGAGCCTTTTGTCGTTGAGATTGGTAATTAAACTAATTATATTAACATTCACATCATAAGTCAAAGTGTGCAATGGCATGAATTATAATTGAATGAGGATGTGGTTTTATCTACGTTCTTTACTGAAAGCTAATGGTTGCGTTTATCGATAGGAGAGACTTTCCTTCCAAAGGATGATGTGAAATTTGTTTCTACTTGCTTGAAATCTCTACATCAGGTCAGGTCGTGAAAATGACGACTATGCAATCACTGCATCGATCGTCTTAGACTGAGCAGTTGTTTCCCTGTGCTTCAAATCCGTACATTGTGATGTTTGGCGTCATTTTTAGAAATATGAATGCTAATTGATGTTTGGCCTTAGAATGTGTCACAATATGAATAATAATTGCTTCAGTTGCTGCAGCACAACTTCTAATTCTGGCTACAACATATAAATTGGTGAGATTTCTAGCCTGCAAACAATCTCAATTTCTTAGCATTCTATTATTGTATAGAAATAGAAGTTCTATGCGCATTATGGAATCCAAAATTAGAAGAAAAAGGAAGTTCCTGAAATTAAAACATGATCTTTTACTTTAATTTCTCCCCACCCCGCAGTTTCTTTCAGATGACATTGCTGTTTATGTGCTTTCTGCCCAAATAACATGTGTATATATTCAACTTTTGTGGGTTTTCCTTTCATTTTCCTGTGTGTATGCAGTAGGTTTATGTTTGGTTTAATTTAAGTTCACGGGTTGACCTACCTTTCCTAAATTATCATGTACCAGGTCTTCGTTTGGTATGTTTCGCAAAAAATTCTCGCTACGACATTAATCCTTATTTCATGGTTATTGCGTATTTTAAAGGTAATGGAACAACTCAAGTTTGATTACTCATAAGAAAATATTACTGAAAAGGTGTTCTTGCATGCTGAACAAGAGGAATTTTGTCAACTCTGCATTGATGCCTGATGAGCAGAATTGACGATCAATCTCTATCTCTGCCTCATCTCCTCTGAGGCGTGACAGATCGATGGGCACAAAATGGATCAGGTCAGTCTTGCTTTTTTGTTTTGCTTGATCTATTTCATTCTTTCGCGAGTCTTTAAATATGGAATTTGGTTAGGGTTTTTCCTTAGATTTTTTGCTTCGAGTTGTTGCAGTATACAGCTGCCTATCCATTTGATATGCTTTTGTTGTCTGGGAGGATAGAAAGAACCTACATAAACTGTTAAGCAGCAGGCATGACAAGGAAGAAGGAGCCAACATCGACCTGGTTGGTGCCGATTCAGATTTGAAGCAAGCCCATTTTGATTCATGGTGTCCATTCCAGCTTTCTTTGGTTATGCAATAATGTGGGGTAGGAAGGTACGTTCTGCTTATAATGGCCGCCAACAGTATAGGTTATTTGCTTTGTATTTTGTTTACCTTGGGATTTATGGTTCGTCCATCTGCTTTGTTATTTCTGTTTGTAGCCGGCCAGTTCAATGTCTCATCAAGGGTGCTGGGAACTATGGATTTGGAAGTAGAGCGATGGATAACTCACTTATGTGCGAATTCATTCGTTCTGGTTTCGACTTGGATCAATACAGCGGGGTAGAAGCGATTAGAGTGGAAGTTTCATACACCATGGAGATGGAACTCGCAGGTTTTATTGCATTCCAGCTGGATAATGGAAGTAATTGGGAGTCCTGAACTGTCTCATGCAGGTATCTGATGATGCTTACCTTTTCTTCCTTTCCTGTTTCAACTTATGTAATCATAATGGATTTGACCTGTGTTGCTTCAACTTTCACCTTAATGGGTTGACATGGATGGAGGTTAGAACAAGTGCCTTCTGCTGCTATAATCATGCTTCCAATTGCTGCATTCATCTTTCTATCTACCATTGTTCTTTGCTATATTCAAAATAGAGGTCTCTTAACAGTCTCGGTTGATTTAGAAGTTGTATCCCTAAGTTCTATATATGTCAATCAATACTTGGTGCATTCAAAGTGAACGAATATAACATACTGAAATCTTTGGGATTTCCATTTTCTAAACTAATCTTTGTTGTTTGCAGGAGTATAAAGAAGATGATGAACTCTCACCAGCAAGTGGGAACTATGAATTTCTGTACCAGTTGATGTTGCTAATAAGAAGATAATTTCCCAGCTCATCATCAGTTTGTTATTGTGCATCCAGGTGAGTATAAGCTTTTTGTACATAACTTTATATAATGGCATGCCAACTATGCTTCTTGAAGACTGAGCTGATGGTTGATGTTTTAGAAGGCTGCTACTGTTATTTGCTTTGTGATATACATGCAACAAGTTAGAGCAGTGAGCTATGTATTTGTAATTTGCTAACTAAAATTGGTTGATGGCGACACTTTCCATTATGAAGTGGGTGTGTTCCATCATTATTATTAAGGGGCTTTTGTCCTTGGGAGTCAGATGCCATTTATGGATCTTCACAACGCCTTCTTGCTTGCCCTATGATTAGAGTTAGTGTTCACCCAATGCTGCTTTTAGTCAAAATTCATTATCTGGAAATGTATTAGGTAATTACATCAGATGAAACCTTCTGATTTATGAGCCATGTTGGAACTATGCGTTTCTTGGCCACTATCTGGTCAAAATAATCTCTAAACTCTATTTCTATTGCTTTTCCCATTATCATTGTCAAAATCAATAATTTGTCTTTGTTTTGGTTTTGCTCAATTTGTAATCCAGCTAAGTTGTTATGCTTGAAATGAAATTGAATTCCTAAATTTGGTACTTTTATGGTTTGGGTTAAAAGAAACCAATACCATTACTCTCTAAGTTGCCTCCATCTCACCCTTTCGTTTAAATTGTTTGGGCTCTGCAGCTCTTTGCTTGACCTTTAGGTCTTTGTGGACTTGATTACAATTGAAACAGGTAGAGGAGGGTGTTTTATGCTTTTGTTCTGCGTCATCTCTATGGTCACTTGCAGGATGCAACCAGGCATATAGAGCGGTGGATATGAAATGAAGTATCCGGTTGTCACAGCAACTCTGCCATTATTGTTTTGTTCCTATTTATATGGCAATGTAATCATATTTAAAACTTTCCATTTGCTTTGCTAGCATGCTTTGTTCCTCAATTGACGTTGGTTCATGCAAATAGGCCAACACTTTTTTTTGCTATTATAATCGTCTTAAGAAAAGATTGGATTTTGTTGGTTCAGAAGACAGTTATCATGATTCTAATCCATTTTGTTACTAGATAGAAGAATGATTCACATGGTTATTGATAGAATGTTGCATGCTCCTGTTCGTGTGCCCTTCTTTATTCCGGGACAAATCTATGTGGATTCGATTGTGATTTATTTTCTGTCTTTTACTAGCTTATAGATCATGTGATGAGTGGGAAAGTTGTTTCGGGGATCATGGCTGGTGGTGGGGAAAAGCCTTTGTTTGTCATCTTTAACGAGTTCATGGTTGGTATGACTTTCCATGAGTAATGAATTATTTATCTCTAGCAAGTGAAAGGAAAAGGCTTTGGTAGCTTTTCTGAGATCCTTCACTTTCGAAACCAAATCAGATGTTGGTGAATTTGTGGGGAGCCTAAAAGACCATGGTCGAGAAGTTGACTATAAGTACATAATTCAATTAGTGCTACTTGGATGGTTGAGGTTCACTTCATGGTCTCCTTTATGGTATCAACTTATAAATCAAACTTTCATTTTCCGCGGATTTAGAAGCTTAGTTACTTTTAAATAAAGAGACAATATTAGCGCAAACTAATCTTGAGTTCGATTCATCTCTGGTCTCAAGTCCGTAACCAATTGCACAGGGTAATCCAATGAATAAGAGATTAGGATTAGAAGTTACTACACATCCTAAATTCTACTAAGCAATCCAAGTTACTCCAAAACCAACACCAACTCCCGATACAACTCTTAACTGACTTGGAGTTTTTTTATCAAGAGCCATGATTAGGATCAATCTCATGGACTTGAGTATGTGTTCAATGATTGCCGAATGATTAATCACTTAATGATTTCCTGATAGTTGTGAGTTACAAATATTTAACTAAATGATTTCCTGATTCGACTCAAGTGATTGTATCAGGGGGAACCTGTATCTGTCACTGCTGAGAAGAGGAGGCGATGGAATGGAAGATAGTGCAAGTAATGGCAATTTTGCATGGTGTGTGCAATGATTTTTCTGCTAAGTTTATGATTTGATGCTATCCTAACTACCTATTTAATATGGCCTTTCACATGTTTTTTCCCCTAATTGCATTATTGTTGTGTCGCAAAATGTTAATATGTGCAAAGTACGTTCTCAGTGTATCTAGAATTTATTTCCAATGCACTATGTTCATGTGTCCATTCAAATGTTTTTTTTTTTTTTTTTTTTTTTTTTGATACCCAGGAACCTCAGCCCCACGTGCCACTTTGTGACAGCGGGTCCTACTAAACCTGGGGGCCACCTGCATTTAATTTGACGCCAACGGGGCTTCGCCCCCAGCAGCCTTGTACCTCCGGGAACACCAACGGGCCTCGCTTGGATTCGAACCTGGGATCTGCAACTCCCAAGCCTTTACTGTTGCGGCAGCTTTACCGTTAGGCTATCTTAGCTTTGGTGTGTCCATTCAAATGTTAGAATGAGAAGTAATTGTACTTTTAGAGTTATATGGATATAATTGATATTTGTAAAGTGTATAATATGTGTTCAACTTGGAAATGGATACCAATTAAACGTTATGTTACAAACCTCCTGACGCGAGGTACATATGGTTCACTTGGGTAGCGATCAAAAGGTTCATTTTGTCTGTCTTTTGAAGCAAACTAATATCTCCACAACCTGTTTTGCCCGCCGCGCAGCGCGGGCTTTTCCTTCCTAGTAGTGGATAATGATTAAAGAGAAGTAGAGAACAGCTGGCTAGCTGGCCGGAAGCCACTGTCTATGTATGCATATACTATATTGCCCATACAATGCTCGTGGTGTACTTTAATTATGCATCGTAACGTATCCGCTTATTAATTGATTAATTTACTTACTGTATGTAAAGCTAAATCATCATTACTGTACTTAGAGCCAGTTTTGCATGTGCTCACTTGCACGTAGATTAAATTACATGTTTTAGCACTCAAATTAAAAAAAATAAAAATTACGTTTACCATCTGAATTACTTTTTTTTTTATTGCCCATTAATTCAACGAATCGTTTCACCTTTAGTCATCGGCTGTCAGTCTCCGTCAAACTCCGTTAACTCCGTTAGTTTTCTGATGACATGGAAAACGGACTGTTGACTTGTCAATTTATAAAAATTAAAATAATAATAATTAACACCGGCATGGCCGCAACGACCATCGTGAACTTCCTTCTTCACTGCAAAATCCCACTACTCGGAGCAAATTCCCCCAAAACAGCAACAATGTGCGCCGGTCAAGTTCCTCTTCAGCTACGGCGGTCGGATCCTCCCCCCCCCCCCCCCATCACGGAGACACCAAGCTACGGTATGCCAGCTCGATGACCAGGCCACCTGGGTCCTCTCCGTCAATGACCTCGAGTACTACACCACTGTCTCCTTCACCGACCTCATGTCCAAGCTCGCCAACCTCTATGGCAAAACCTCTGTCGAGCTCCGGTGTCCGCTCCCCAATGGCGACACAGTCGTTTCAATAAAACAGAAGGAGAGATAAAATTGTATCATCGCAGGGGTCGGGGAAATCGAGCCTTACAAAGTTGCCTCTCGGCTTGTAAACTGCCTTATCGTAATCCAGAGCAGTTTCTTCATCGCTGTCGAAGGTACCTGTTTTCCGGTGAGGAAAATATGGTGTTTGAACTCAATTAATGAACCTTGACTTCTTGAAAACCGATTCTAAACACGCTTCACACCTCTCCGAACAATGATCGAACGAGGGTGTTACGTTTGATGTTTTGATGGTTTTTTGGGAACAAACTATGTTAATTACACCTACTCCTATGGAGGTTCAGTAAGAGTTCCAAAAACTAAGGCTATGACTAATTTACAGAGAAAAGATAAAACTTTGACATTGGGCGTCAAATGTTTGGTTGTGGAACCCTTGCTTCTTCTTCGTTTCTCCTATTTATAGCCACTAGGTGTAACTGTCTTGGTAACCGCCCTGGTAATTGCAGTTGGCTTGTTGCTCCAAACCACCTCGGAGTCCTCATTGCAGCCTAGGTGACCGGTTGGTAACTGTCATCTAGATGGCTTGGCATAAGGCTTAATTGGTGTTGAGTTGAGCTCCATCTTGCCGCCTCATGTTAACTAGAAGGAGTTGGGGCCTCCTTGTCTTGCCTTCATCACATTGGTCTTCTCATCGTGCCTCCTCAACGACGCCGCACTCAGCTCCTTTGATTCTGACTTATTACCATATCCTTCTCGTTACCTAGCCAGCCTCTCAGTTTTCCATCCTCGTCTTGTTAGCTAGGCCTGGTTACCTACCTAGACAGGATGAGAAATTGGATTCTTTCCCCACCAAGTCTCCAGACTTAGTCTTAGAGAGCTTGTGATCATGCCACCATCTTGACATCTTGGGATCAGGCCCGTCTTATCTGCTTGATACCCTGCTGCCTTGCCATGTTGGTAAGCCATTCTTACCAGCTTGCTAACAAGATCATCCCAACTTTGTACCTTGTTATCTTTCTAGCTTAATACCTACTTCTACCAAGTCCGCCATGTCGGCCCCTACTACCAAGCCAGCAGGGCTGGCTTGGTCTTAATACTTAGTTTTGGAATCTCATCAAGTTGGTACCTTGCCGCCCTGTCAGGGGCTCTACACCAAGTCCTCGTCAAGTTGGCAACCTCTTAGCTTGGCATCCTGGCCGACCAGACCCCACCCCGAAGATTTCATACTTAGCTTTTGGGAGTTTTGATAACTTGATACCAAGCATGTCTTGATGGCTTGGTTTCTTGAGCTCATCTTGTTGTATTAGCTCATTGAGCTCACTTTCTCCAACTCCTTCTGTTGTGTAATGATAGCTTTATTCTTCTTCATTTTTGCTATTACTCCCAATGCTGCCTTTGTTTTCCTTCTCCTTCCTTTGATACTATCAAAGGTTTCTTTGCTTCACTTTAGATGGGATTTTTCACAACCCTTTTATTCTTTCCTCTACTGAGCTATTTATCCGCTAGTCCATTCTTCTTTATATAACCAAACCACAATCTCCATGTGTCTGCCAGAACGACTCAAATCTGAAATGCCAGCGTCATCTCACCTTCTCTTCTTGTAGGCTGAGTTCCAACTGCATAGGATGCTTATCAGATACCCATCTATCCAGGTGGTTTACTTTTGCAAAAGGAAACATGGCCTTCCAGACTGCATTTGCCATCATTTTGTCCAAACGTTCCTCAATAAAGCTTTCATCATCTCTTCCATTGTCCCAAGTAAAGACATTATTACCATGATATCCTTGATCTTCCATCCCACAAATATCCATGGCTTCACAGAATACTCCATATTTCGTATGTCGGGTGGTCTTGAACCATTTTTTCCTCATATCCCAACACTTGTTTGAAGTCAGCACAAATCACTTAAGGCATGGATTGGTGGGAGCTTAATCTTGTCATTAATTCCCAAGTATTTTGTTTGTTCTCATGTTCATGCCATCCATAGATACTTGTAAGCCTCTAGTCCTGGTCACCCGCTTCCCCTTCAACAATCACATCAATACAGTTTGGTTCTGCTTTCAGTACCTGTACCTTCAGATCTTCTTTCCACATCAATAAAAGCCCTCTAGCTCTTGTGGTTGATCCCACACCTCTTTCTTTTGTCTATGGTTTGTTCCCATTCATGCTCTTTTTCTCTTAGACTCCACGAGGAATACTATGCTGGGGTCTATTTCTTCGAGTCGCTCAGCAACTCTGCTAACTGTTGTGGTTCTCCCCAACCCATGACAGTTATAGATAATTAGAATCATTGGGCTGGGTGACCTTGCTGAGCAAGGTTCGCCTCACCGCCATCTGATTTTTTGTTAGGAGATACACCTTTCAGTTACTTCTTTGGGGTTTCCTCTTTCAACTTCTGATGCTCCTCTGTTTTGGGGTGTCACTTGAGTCCATGTCAGTTTATTTGCATCAAAATATCCTTTGCCTTGTCTTTTCCAATGCTTCTGTGTCTTTCATTGATGCTCACTCTTGTCATTGTTTCTCATACTGAAAGTTAAATTGTCCATCATTGGGGGTGTTGCTTTGGTGCATTGATTCTCTCGAGTCCTTCGTAACTACCATTTCCCCCATTTTTTCTTCTTCTGTAGCAAGCTCCATGTTTGGTTTTGTATGCCTGCTATTTCATATTTCCTCCCTTAAGCCTTTCCATGGTTTTTTTTGTGTCTTTTGGGGATTACTTTATGATGTTGTTTTTTGGCATTTTCTGTGATGGCTTTCTGTATCAACTATTCTCTCAATAATTCGTCAATGCTTCCTTTTGATATTCTTTCTCTGTATTCAACATCTTCTATTTGTCTCTTTGTTGTCATCGCCTCCCTGTCAAATTTGGCTCTTAAAGCTAAGCATGCCAAATGTCCTCTAATTCTTCTCTTTCCAGCTTGCTTTCCCATGATCTGTCTTTAGCTAGACCAACCCGTAGTTTAAGATCTACCAAATCATTGCCATCTGGTGACGGTTGGAGATAATGTAGCATGGGGTGGCCCACTAATCCACATGAAAAGCAATACATTCGAAGTTTTTCATACTTGACTTCATAACTATGTACCTTCCCTTTTAGATTGAGCTTCATTTCCTGCTACAGGGGGTTCTTATGTCCTTCCCCACCCTTATTCTTAGCACATCATCCCATCTATTGTCCCTTCTTCTATCAACCCATATCATCGTTCCAAATCGAGCTATGATTTTGTGTATGATCTCAATTGTTCTTAGCGCAGCTGGCAGGTGATAGATTTGCATCCAGATCACCATCGTACAGAATTCCCCTTGTTTTGGCTTCTGGAGAGCATCTGCTTACGTGGAGATGAGTAAACTATTCTCATAATTAGGGATGGCAACTTTGCCCATACCCATGGGTTTTTTACTATCCAACCCAATTGGGTTGGGTATGAAATCCAAATAGATGGATATGGGTAGAGTTTGATGGGTTTGTACCCATACCCATTTACTTTGGGTTGAGTTGGGTTTATATAAAATGGATTTGGGTTTGTACCCATGCCCAAATACAAATTACAGTTTGGTACCCAAACTTAATAGATATGCATATTTAGTACCTAAATTTAATTTTTTGCATATAAGTCCTCAAAATATCGATTGAAAATTACGTTTTGGCACCTAAATTTTTTGGTCTTACATTTTGGTACCTAAACTTTTCAAGTTTTACAAATAGGTCCAATTTTTGCATGTGCAGTTAAAACACCCTCAAGTAAATGGATATCCATATCCAACCCATACCCATTTAGATTATGGAAGCAATATTCATACCTTACCCAAACCCATTTATAAATTCCCAAATCCATATGCACTTCACTCATACCCAACCCATTATCAATGGGTCTACTTGGGTTTGGGTATAATTACCCATGGGTGGGTAATTTGCCATCCCTACTCATAATGCCAGGGTCCTCCAAAAAACCTTGTCTCGATCTTTTCTTTCTAGGAATTGAAATTCGAAAAGTTGTTCACTCGCTTCTGTTATCTGAAAATTCTGATTCAGGTTCCATGCCTTTGACAGTGCTGTCTTCATTGATTTCAGGTTTGGTTTCTTTTGCGTCACCAGTATCCCAGCCAGTCCCAGAAGGCAGACAACTTGAACCGTTGCTGCATCAATGTCCTGTTGAGGGTTCTGATTCAACTCAATCGTATTTGTGTCTTCCTCTATTGATTGTCTGTCCATATCAATGATCTGTTTTTGTAACTGATCAGACTTGCTTATTGCTTATCAGCTCACAAAATTCAAAGAATCTCTCCCTCACCCTGTAACGCATGAGGCGTGTAGGGTTTCAGGAAAAACACGAGACCTCAGAAACTTTAATATGACGATCCTAGGAAACTCTCACTCACAATCCTAATACGCAGGAGGCAGATTTAGGATTAAAGCTAGCTAAACACCGCTCTACCTATCAATCAACAAAGACCCATGTAGGACTTTCAGATATAGCTCCAAACCCAGGGTTTGGAAGAAGAACCTAAAAGAATCGTCGGAACCCTAGATCCGAGACTCTCGTTAAACGAGTGAAAAAAATCCCCTTGCTTGTCAATTCTTTGATAGTGGGATATACTTTTAAATGTAAATAAAACACAATTTCGGGGAAAACACGATTAGGATGCAACTATTTTTGTATTTGATGAATAAATTCAATAATTTATTTCCTTCAGTTCTCTATTGCATGTGACTAATTAATACATTGTATTAATTGATCACCAATGGATTGAATCATAGTTCACAATTTCATAGAATTATATCTCAATAGCTTGTAAAATTTTGAGTTATTGAAAAGATTAAGATAAAAAAATGAATATCCACCTAATTATGTATAAGTGTCGTCTTACTCCGTCATCGCATTTGGATGTCTAAGTTGCTATAAAAATCACAAAAAAAATGTTCTCGCCTAAGTATACTTAAACGCACCTTTTTTAACTCTGAATTTTAGTAATACATGAATGCCTTATCGTTATCGGTATCCATCCACCTCTCAATGAAATTGTCTTTATTGTTCTCACCAACTTACTGGCGAGGCAGGCCCTACATACACACAGATTTTTATTGTCGAAAAACAAAGTTACACAAGACATTTTTTTAATAGAACCCCTGTACTAATTTCACAATCGTCCCTTCCTCAGTGATTTAATAACCATGATGTACCTTTTGCAGCTTAAGTACCTTACCGAACCGACCAAGACCACCTTTAATCTTCCCAATCCCGGCGCTGACGTTGTCCTGGAACGCCTCCCACGCCGCCGCCACGGCGGACTGCAGGGTCACCATCCCATCCTCCAGTTTAACCTTCCTCTTCTCCACGTACGCCTCCCAAGACGCCACCTGGCCCTTCAGCTTCACGATCTCGCCGTCCCTGTCCGCCAGCTGGCCTCGCAGGGTCTTTATCTCCTCTCCGTTGTCAGCCACCTCGGCAGCCAGCCTCCGGATCTCCACGTCACGCGCCTGGATCACCGCGTCTTTCGCCCGCATCTTGTCCTCGTACGACTCCCACGGCGCGTAGTCGTAGTACGTGGTGAAGCGCTCCTCTTGGGAGTAGACGATCGACATCCCGTACTCATCCGGAAAGTCCGGGTTGTTGAACCAGAAGAGACGGCCCTGGTTCGCCACGTAGCGGAACCACACGGTGTCGGGCTGGTCGGAAGGGAAGACCGGCTCGAACAGCGTGCACTCGCCGACCACGGAGGTGTCCTCGTTGGGGTTGTCCGCCGTGGCGGTGACCATCCACACTCCCAACCTGTTTCCCTTTTTTTGTCAACGAATGAATATGGAAACGTAGGGGAAAAATGGATTACAAAAGGAAGTCGTGGATTAATATAGAAACGTACGTACCTTTGGACAAGACGGAAGAACTTGTTGTTGTAAGAGCAGCGGAGGTGGACGAAGGACGATGGGTTGGTGGTGGAAGGGACGACTTCGAGCTTGACGAACGGGTTCACCGGATCCAAGGCCCGTTTGGTGCCGATGAACTCGTAGAAGTCACCGAACTCGTCGTTGTTCCACATGTAGTGCATGTAGATGTTTAGCCTCTTTGATTTGAGGACCACGTACTGCGGCAGTCCGGCAACTAGCGTCGCCATCGCTTACTGCGGGTGAGTAGAAAGATAGATTGTGCAGGCTAGAAGTGGAGGCTTTTAGTTTTATAGACACGATCTTGGCAGAGTCGGGTACGAGTATATATATACAGAATTACTAGTAATTAATAGTGATAATAAGCGGTTCCTTTTCTCAAATTTGGAACAAATTTTTTCTTTGGATTTGTTTTTTTTTTTACTACGACAAAAAAAGTGGTGTGGATATGACTGAGTAGTGCAGAGTAATAAAAGTTGATTTATAAATCATCGTGATTTGGAGAAATGATTTATCGCTTTCACTAAGTGCTCACTTTTAGTAGCACGTCAACTGGATAAACTTTTGCTGGTGAAATCAACATATTTAATTAGAGATATCCAATATTGATATATAGTAAGTAGAAGTTAGTGCAAAGGTTGAAGGCTTGACGCATAGATAAAAAGATTACAGAGTGATTGTTCTTCTACATGTAAAAAAAATTTCTACGCATTTATTTTTTATATTTTATTACTCTATAAAATTTTTCATTTGTGCATCAAATTCTAAGTTCGCTTGCTTTTTATTCTACAAATGTGATGAAGTAATGATTTTTGTTATGAAAATATGTACAAAATTAATGTAAGTATTTATACAATTGTATCGTCCTCACAGTGTATAAATCACATATGATTTTGCTTTTGCGGGTACTTGTTCCATAATAGTGTCAAAAGAGGGATGCTATTTTATAGTCTTATAATATTCGTAAAGATTTGGCAGTTGGATAGAGCACACGGCATTACTACTAATAGAAATAATCACTAGTTCCTTTCTCAATTTTGTAACAAAATTTTCAGCAATTCTTTTTATTACGATTCTTTTCAGCCAAAATAAAAAAGAACAAAAAAAAAAAAAAAAACAGCTAAGCCTATTAAAAGCTTATTGCTGCACCTATATAATAAACTTTTATTTATTACAAGAAATATCACAAAATCTCATTACCATATATAAAGTCCTGTAGTTGTTTAAGAAGTATGATATGATAGAAACTAAAAACTTAACATTTATTGAAAAATTATTTCTTTCCCTAATAATATCACCTTCATTTAAAACGAAAGTATTATTTATTTCTAATTAATATATATTTTTGATAAATTGTTGTGAAATGTGGACCAATTATCTAGTAATACCAGATATACTCGGAGGGACAATTATCGAGTAATATTAATACAACATAGAATTTTTTTAGTATGCTATAGGAAAGTCGATCATCAATATATGGATAGGTTTCTGAAAGTAGATATAAACCTACAAATACAAATATGTCTTTCTGAGCGCGAAACCACGTTAAAAAAAAAGATGTTACCTTGTGTATAAATAAGAAATGTTTGCACTGATGTTCTTAAAAGCGAAGGGGATCGGTTAGCATGCTAACCCTTGTATGAGTTGGCAAAATGACAACCCCTATTAATTATAGGTTTTTAAGGTAATTAATTTGTGTTGCATTTAATAATCTGTATGAATTAAAAACACATATTAATTACTTTCCTTTTTTCAGTGCACGGTAGTTGTATCAGTGCACTAGTATACTGAACTCATATTAATTACGTTCCTTTTTTGGAACTACCATTGCAGTGATACATCTACCATTGCACCTGTACACAACTACCAGTGCACTGATACAACTACCAATGCACTGAAAAAAGGAAAGTAATTAATATGTGTTTTTAATTCATACAGATTATTAAATGCAACACAAATTAATTACCTTAAAAACCTATAATTAATAGGGGTTGTCATTTTGCCAACCCTTTTATGGGTAGGCATGCTATCTCATCCCCGAAGCGAAGCTCTATCACACAAATATATGTCATTATGTCAATTGCGCTGCACCGACTTGCCACATACGTCTATTATTTTTAAGAGAAGTTAATGACCTCAATAATTAGACCTCAATAATGCATGCATTATTGCATATGGCCATATGGGTGGACTGTGGATAAGATATTCATAGAAAATTGGGTCATTTGGATCTCCAGAAGCCCAACAGTGTGATTTTTGTTTTTAGGTATTTTGTCGTTTTTTCTCGGTTAATTATTGCGACAAGGAATGATTGGTTTCCTGGAGTGAAGGGTGGAAGTGGGATCGATGATGGTAGTCGGCACCGGCGGTGCGATTGGGTTGAGGAGGAGGAGGAGGAGGAGGAGGGATGGGGATGAAGTATAGGGTTAGGAATTTGGGGTGGGTTTGTGAGAGTAAGTGAGTGGGCTGGCAGCGATCAGTTGGACCGTGAGAGAGTGGACTCAGCTTAATATATGGTTTTTTGATTATTTTAGTTCGCTTTCTCGGTTCGATTGATTGGAATTCTGGTTCGGTCGTGCATATCCTGCTTTCCGAAATATGAGCTTTTGTCTTTCCAATTCCAAATGATTAGTGTCAAATCGGTTTTGGTCGGTTTGACTTCGGTTCACAGAATTGAACCCAAATCGGATGCCCACTCCTAGATTAGCAGTTGTCTTTACCAATGTAGACCATGAATGATAGTTACTATCAGCTAGATAATAACATGTATTGTGTCATTTGCTATTTATCTTAAATCTCAGTTGTGCTGTTGAATCATTCACTATATGATCAAATACGGGAGATTGACCGAGAATGTTGACAATCGTTCATGGAACCTGCAGTGCCAAAGAAGGCATGTCATATCCAAGTATTGTAACCTGCAACCGCTTCGAGAACCATAGTAGGTCGATAGACGTGGGCGGGGAACTAACAAAAAAAAATGTGAATCATCAATTGAATTGATTAACTAATTATTTTAACAATAAAAAAGGCATCTCGAAAATTGTTCGGAATTTATCGGAATTTTGGTATCGAATTATCATGAACAAATATATACATTATAAATTAAAAAACATAAGTTTAACTATTCTAACTAGTAGCTAAAATATCATTTTGCTCCCTTTAACCCCTTTTTTTTTTGTTACGGATAGCAGTCAGCTTTAGAGAAAGAAACCCATGCGTTCTATCTTTCCCCCCTTCCTCTGCATCAGTATGCGACTATGCGTCGGCGAGCTGTCACTCCCACTTCTTGACGATGACTACCAGATGGGCTAAAGCCCACTCATGTCTTCTCCCTGTATATTCTGTTTCGTTTCAGTCTGTGCTCTCAATACGAATTAACCCAAGCCCAGTCGCCTCTTCCTCCCTCCCCCCCCCCCTACGAGCATCACCAACATCCCAACTTGCAACAATAACGTCTCCCAGAACGTGCTATATATCAACTCAATCCCTCATGAATAATTCATGCTCAGTCATTAGTGAAAGAATGTTGCAAAAGGAGAGATTGTGGAGGAAGAAAATTGTATCTGTATTGACATCTCTAATGAACTAATATAGTGATCCAAGGAGGATTTGTAGCTAACAGAACTACACGTTCCTCAATGGTAGGAACTGAAAGGGACTGGCAAGTGTACAGGGGAATAATGAGAATAAAATAATTTTAATTACGTAACCTTAATACGCCCCTGCAAGATGGAGGAGGTATCGCACGACGTCAATCTTGGATCGGAGGAGGAGATAACACGTAGCTGGAAGGGACTTGGTGAGAGCATCGGCAAGTTGGTGAGACATGGGAATATAGGTGACGCGGAGCCGGCCGTCCTGGACAAGCTGACAAACAAAATGATAGTCCAAGGTGAGGTGCTTCATACGAGAGTGAAAGACTAGATTGGCGCAGAAATATGTTGCTCCAAGATTGTCGGAATGAATGGTCGAAGGTGCTCAAAGAGAATGGCGGAGCTCAAGGAGAAGATTCTGAATCCACTCCAATTCCGCAGTGGCATGAGCAATGACACGATACTCAGCTTCAGTACTAGACCGGGCCACAGTTCGCTGGTTTTGAGACTGCCAGGAAATGATAGTATCGCCAAGGTAGACAAGATAGCTTTAAGTGGAGGAGCGATCGTCGAGGTTGCCGACCCAGTCCGAGTTGGCAAAGGCAGTAAGAGATAGTGGAGAGGTGTCAGCCGGCTTGGCATCGATCATAGAGAACCGGTGGAGCACATCAACCATATATTTATGTTGAGGGATGTAGCCGGTGGAAGTTGGAACGACCTCGATGTCGAGAAAGTAATTGACGTCCCCAAGTGCCTTGAGTGAGAAACAGTGAGCGAGAGCATCTTGAAAGGCCGTGAGTGTAGCATGATCATTGCCGGTGAGTAATAAGTCGTCAACATTCACCAAAAAATATAGAGAGTAGTACCACGGGAGTAGACGAACAAAGAAGCATGAGAGTGAGTCTTCAGGAAGCCAAATTCAAGGAGATAGGAGCTCAATGCAGTATACCATGCGCGGGTGCCTGATGGAGTCCATAAATTGCTCGACGTAGGTGACAGACATGCGTGGGATGCTCGGGGTGAGCAAAGCCAGGTGGATGTTCCATATAAACTTCTTCCTGCAAAGGACCCTGGAGAAAAGCATTATTAACGTTAAACTGAGGTATGGACCACCTGTGAGAGAGAGTCAGGGTGAACACCGTGCGAACAGTGACAGGTTTGAACACATGACTAAATGTATCAGTGAAATCAAGACCAGGCCGTTGATGAAAGCCCTTGGAAACCAAACGAGTTTTGAAACTCTCAATAGACCCATCAAGATGATGTTTGATCCGAAATAACCAGCGGTTTCTCACAACATTATAATGGGGTAGACGCGGGACAAGATCCCAAGTGGAATTGGCCAATAATGGCTGATTCTCGGCAGAGAGTGCATTGGCCCACTCTTTGTAGCAAAGTGCCTCAGCCATGTTTTTGGATTGCAATGGGGACGACCCATGTGAGAGAGCCACATGGAAGAGTCTCTTCTTGGACCGAAAGATTCTGTTCTGGGCCCTGTTGCGCATTGAGTGGGAGCGCTGAGGAAGATGCGGCGGGCCGGATGGAGGGGCAGGCCTAGATGGCAGGGTGACAGGGCCTGGCTGAGCCGGTGGGACAGTGGGCCGAGGGGATGATGCAGACCCAGTTGAGGAGGGATCCAGTCCAGGAGACGCGGCCGGAGAGGGGGGAGCTGGTGGTGGTGAAGCAGTAGGAGTCGTGAAGGGAGGAATATAACCAGGAATTGTGGTGATTG